ACAACACAAACCCCAAGCCCAATAAAACTCCCAAAGAGTCTGAGAGAAACAAAACATAAACTAGTAAACAAACAGAAATAACGGCCACAAACAAGCACGTATGAAACAAAAAGGAAGCAAAAATCACAGTCAACACTATTTGTACTAGGAACCAGTTTGTGTTCTTGGAGTAGTTAGTCTGACCCTAAACCTACATGCTTATGCCTTTGTTTCTCAGAAAATTCGTGCAGCGAAATATCCAGAATTTGAGACTTTTTACACTAAAAATAGTCTTTTAAACGAAGATATTCGTGTTTGGATGACGGTGTGATATTAATTTGGGGGACTTTAACAAAATCAAAAGCTTCACTGACCCAACTAACTTGAATATATATACCTATATTTTCTTTTTTCAAAAAGTTTTAGCATGCAGAAGTTGATATAATAAAGTAGGATTATCTGTCTCCATACAAAAAAAAATAAAAAAAATTCTACATAAAACTCAAAATGATAGATTCGGTGGTGAGATTTCTGTCTCAATGGGATTTTATAACAAGCTTCCATCATTATATATTCACTAGGTTGTGTGCATAATTACAAAATTATTTCATCCATAAGCTAATCAATTACCGTTGAAATAATAATGTCCATAATCTACAAATTAGTATATAATAGGTGACCCTGATGTTGTTGAAATTATAGCCATTTGATCTTTATTTTTTATTATTTTTGTTTCGAAAATGGCATCCCATAAATTGCAAGAGCCTGGAGATATATATAATAACGACCGTTAACCGCCATCAACGGCTATATTCATGGAAACCTTTTGTGAATGATGTAACACAAAATGTTAAAATCCAAGATCAAGGACGGCCCTACTCCACCGACAGACTTCTTTTCGTTTAGATTATTTTGGCTGAGCCATAATATTGTTATAATTAGCCATGCAAATTAGTCAAAAACCTACTGCTTGAGTTGATTGTATCGTCTCGTCTCGTCTAGTCTAGTCTAGTCAGCTTATGGTTATCAATTATGGGCTGATGAGCTTTGAATTTGAAATTTTGGACAGTGGAAAAATAGTGAAAATTCATTTGGAAATCTTCCCCAATTTCTTAAAATAAAGTCAATAAAGCACCAACACCCCACATACTCAGCCTAAATTTATGGGTTTTATTTTGAAATCCTCCCTTGAAGATTTGCAAGTAAAACCATGTTTCCGCATTGGCTTATCTGCAGAACTTGAGCATGCAAATTCAAACTACATGTAGATTAGTCTATGATTATTTTCCTGTCAATAAAAGATATGATAATTCACAAAAGTGTCCTCTAGTTTGTGTCAAATTAAGGCGACCTGTAGAAAGCGCCATGTTACTTCACTTCACTCCATTAATAATACCAATTTTAAAAAAATAATTGGACTTGGATTGATAGCAACAGGCACATGGTATTTTCCTCTATAAAAACCAGTAAGCTTTTAACACTAAAAACCACACCCTAAACTAGCAATATCAACTTAAGTGCAGTGCAGCTTAGCCATGGCCACTCTTAATAAGCTACACTTAGCTGGTTTAAAACCCCTTTGGTACTTAATCACTGTATTTTGCTACTTTAAGCTGTGTTTTGCTGTTAATCGCAAGCGCTTAAACTTGTCGACTGCTGCCACCCATTGGTACCCTGCCGGAGCTACTTGGTATGGCAGCCCTGACGGTGCGGGAAGTGACGGTAATTAATGCATGATTAATATGTGTGCATGTTTAATAATTCTGGTTAAGAAATAATGATGTTGCTTAGTTAACAAATTGTAAATGCAGGCGGGTCTTGTGGGTATGGAAATTTGGTGTCACAGCCTTCATTCTCTTCTATGGTTACTGGCTTACGTCACTCTTCTATTCTTTATAATAGCTGACATTCATAAAGCTTTAGTGTTTGGACGTATATATAATAATATATTACTTCTCTCTCTCTCTCTATATATATATATATATATATATATTAATTTGTCCAATTTTAATTAACGTCAGGTAAAATGTACCAAACATGCATCTTGTTCCAGCAGACCAGCGAGGGTGGTCATCACGGACTTTTGCCCCGGAGGACCTTGTGCATCGGAGCCGGCACATTTCGACCTGAGCGGAACTGCATTTGGTGCCATGGCACGTCCTGGCCAACAAGAGAAACTACGCGATGCCGGAGTGTTACAAATTCAGTTTGCACGGTACATGAAACTCAATTTTACATTTGCAAAATTTGGTAGATTATTTATTATACATTTTGGACTAGATTAATTTGTGTTTTTTCTTCCATGGCCATTTGCCAGTGTGGCATGTGACTACTCAGGAAAAACCATTGCATTCCACGTGGACCAGGGCTCAAACCCAAACTATTTTGCTGCTATGATTGAATTTGTGAGGAGGGAGATGGTGATTTTGCTGGTGTTGAGTTGAAGGAGGCTTCCTCATCGGACGGTGGTGATGAATGGCGTACCATGCAACAATTATATGGGGTGCGGTGTGGAAACTTGATGCAGGCTCAGAATTGCATCCTCCATTGTTAATGAGGTTGACATCTCAGTATTCAGCCCAAACTTTGCTGGCCAAAGATTTAATTCCAGTTGGGTGGAAACCTGGTGCCACCTATAGATCCTTGGTCAATTATCTATGACCATGTACTGTAAAGAAAAACAAAACGTTACAAGAATTACCAAAAGGACATCCGTCTTCACCAAGAACTCGAGAAATAAAAATTCAAATCTCAAGTATATGGCATC